AGTTGATAAGAAAATTTGAAGAAACTGTATCTGTCTCTTATATTCGCCGTAATCGCCATCGAGTAAATCGACCAGTTAGAAATGAAGCTGCAGAAATAGTCGTTTTGGGACACGTAGCACTTGACAACCACGCAAAGCACTCGTGGACTGGCTACTTATTCAGGATTTACACACTCAACAAACAGTACAAAGAATTTTGAAAGACAATAAATTTCAGCCGTTCAAGATAAAACTTTTCCACAAGCTAAATGAAGACTATTTTGATAGAAGGTTGGAGTTTTGCGAATTAATGTCCCAACGTTTAATCAACAATGCAAATCTGTTATTTGATTTGTTTATTGGATGAGTGTACGTTCTATTTACATGGTGCTGTAAACAGACATAATTGTCGATATTCGGGTAACTCGAATCTTCATTTGTTTTGAGATGTACACTCGCAATATCCTGAAAAAATCAATGAGTGGGCTGGAAACTTGACGGGCGAGACGTACTTTGACATGTTACAAAATACAATAGAGCTACGAATTACAGATAAAGTAGAAAATGACGTTAATTATAATGAAAATTACATTCATTTTCAACAAGATGGTGCACCGCCTCAATATGTGGCTCCAGTACGAAAGTTTCTGGACACCCATTTCCCGAATGAGTGGTTCGGAAGACGAAGTCCCATCGGGTGGCCGCCGAGATCTTCGGACCTAAGTCCTTTAGATTACTTTATTTGGGGTCATCTGAAAAGTTAAGTTTTTAGTACAAAGCCAGATTCCATTCAAGATAGACGGACTACGACTGAATATAGACAAGTAACTCAAGACATGCTTGAAAATGTGAGGAATAGATCCGAACAAAATCTTTATTATTGCACTTATTATCACATTGACCTACCTCTTTAGAGCAAATTAATTTTAAATTTAACTTTAATGTGAGTGTAAACTGTAAGTTGTTTTTTGTTGTTTTTTTTAATACTCTGAGACTTGTTTTGAATTTTAAAATAAAGTCTTGTTACTATGGGAACAACATTGATTATTATTTTTACGATATAATGCCTTATTATCACAATTTCTAGAATTTTACTATAAACTCAAATAGCTTCACATTGATTGAAGATAGGTATAAACTTTATTATACAACAGTTACTAAGCATTCAAAAAAAGAGGGTTTCCATTGATGGTCTGGATGTAACGCATTAACCAACCGGGCAGTAGCTTTCGCAATGCTCCCATTTTGGTTATACAGTTTTACTATTTCTACCCTTTCTTGAATTGAATAAGTCATTGTTCGATACCTATCACACCACTTCGTTGGGCCACCCTGTATTTGGTCATCGTACAACATTTTGATAGAAGTTTTTTGGAACTTGTTTTAGATGTTAGCTTTCCAAACAACAGAAGCGTCCGTGAGAAAAGATTTCAATAAAAGACGATCTGGTAAATTGGAAGGGGAAACCGATAAAAACCAATATTCCCTGATCGAGATCCCATAGTGAGAGGAGCGGAAACAGATGCAATTTCCCCTTCCTCTCGAAGTTTTGACAGTTTCAAGCTACACCGGGAGTGGTTAGATGGCGCATGTTGCGCAAAATATTTGTTTTAAGCTCCTTGATAAACTTAGCTGCTTTCTTTGGATCTGAAATAAAAAGACCGTTTTTTGTGCAATGTACATATACAGTAATGGACAAAAGTATATAGACAAATATGAATATTTACCTAAATACCTTTAGAAAACGAATTCATATTTCATTGCTCCATAAACAAATTAATGCATTATTAATAGAAAAACTAAATTCCTGGTTTTTACATTATCTGCAATGAACACAATACAAGTCTGATTATAAGCACTTTTTTATGAGGGACAAAAATATGTAGACAAATTCTTTTCAACATTAGTTTAGTACAGTTTCGTATCAGAAGAGGATTAGTTTGTTTTCATCAAATATTGCGGAATAAGTTAAGTGATTTTAAGACCATGACGCGTGCTCCAGAAGTTTCTTTCGATGTGAAAACTAAGATCATTGAGTTATACAAAGATGGTGTAACCTAAACCTACCTGTATACAACCAGTAGTGCAACATATAGTTCGCAGCCACGCGATCCCCTTGTGCCAGGTACCGGCGAGTACAAGTTCGTGCGACGGGGATGAAGGTGAAGGGCCGAGGAAAGGGGCAGTCTGGCCCGATCGATGAGAGAGATCGGATCGACGGTTGCGGCAGACAAACGATACGTATTGCAGCAAAGCAGCAAATATAGATATATTCACGTAAGAATCGTGAAAGAAAGATAAAAGGTTACGTGGGACTATACCGTGTAGCGGACATCTACTATGAGAAGTGAGAGAAGATATATATGGTGTCTAGCCCAACCACTGGGCTCATTGTCAGTAGCTGTTTTAGGAGGTAACTACCTGCGTAGAATCTTTAGTTACGACGGATTAAGTTTACGAAGATTGATTTTATAGACAAATCTGTTAACCAAGTGTCGGGACCGCTTCTTTGTACTATTAGAAAATAAATTGTTGTTTTGTAGTAACGATTTCAACCCTAGGAGGGTTACAATGGTCAACGTCAAGTCGACATTGCCAAAAATTTGAAGCTGAAGCGTAAAGCAGTTTGGGCATTATTGAACAAATATAAACAAATAGGTATCTTGGAAACCTCTAAGAGAAGTGGTCGACCTAGAAAACTAAATGCTATATCAGTTAGATTAATAAAAGTAATTTCGTACAACGATCCGTTTAAAACCCCAAGACAAATAAAAGCCGAAATCGAGACAAAAGGAATTGTCAGTGTTTCTACGAAAACTACAAGTAGAAGATTAAATGATTTGTCATCGCCCGAGTAAGAAGCCGCTAATCTCGAGAAAAAAAACGTAAAGACCGATTACAATTTGCACAGTTGCATCTTCATTGGAGCATCTGTGACTGGAAGAGGGTATGTTTCAGTGACGAATCCAAGCTCAATATGTTTGGATCAGATGGTGTTCATTACGTTAGTCGTCCTAGTGGACAAAGATTGAACCCCAAGCACACTTTGCCCACTGTCAAACATGGAGGCGTGTCTGTTATGGTTTGGGGTGCTTTTCGGGGTTTGGGATGGGACCTTTACATAGAATTATGGATAAGTTTGTATTCACAGACATACTAAAACATGTTATGTTACACTATATGAAAGACAATATGCCCTTAAGATCAATCTTCCAGCAAGATAATGACCCGAAGCACACTTCAAATCTCGCAAAGAAATTCTTTCTGGATGAAAAAATACCAGTTCTCAAATGGCCTTCACAGTCTCGCGATATAAACACCATTGAAAATCTATGGGAATACTTAGATAAGCAAAATACGAGATAACAATTATTCAAACAAGGATGAACTTTTTGCCGCTTTACAGCAAAAGTGGAGATAGATTGATGAATCTTATATCAAGAAACTTCTACAATCTATGCCGAGACGATGCCAGGCGGGGATTGATAATAACGGTTATGCTACAAAATGCTACACAAACATGGTTGGTTTTCTATAATTCAATAAACTGCTTCTTTTTTCTCTAATTGTTTTGCTATGTCTATATATTTTAGCCCTTCATAGTTCCAGTTTTTTTTTCAATTAATTTTTTATTGAAGTGAGCCTAATGAATTTATTTATGTATAAGTGAGTATTATGCTATAACGAATTATGTATACAGGTTGGTGTATTAATAAAACAAGTTAAAAAAGAAATACAGCACAATATTAATTTGTCTATATACTTTTCTCCATTACTGTATATCACTGAAATCAACTATTTGATATGACAAGTGGGGTTCCTATATCTTCGATGACCTTCTCCTTCGTCATTTAAAATCAGGTGGACGTGTTCCTCCACTAATGATTTAATAATGTAACTCAATTTTCAGCACTGCGAAGACAAATTTTCAATTGAGATGTCTGTTTTTTAAGTGAGATTGACGTAAGACCTGTCACCCACTAGTACCTCACCGACGTTAGGCGGTTATCCGTAACACATGATTTTTTGACATTCGGATGACGTCACATCCGTCTTCCCCTATTCCCGTTCTTGGCGAAACTTTGAGTATCGGTTCCCGGTAGTGCAATGTCCTACACCGTGAACTCGCGAAAAAAATCCTTAATGATGTGTCTACATACCATACGAAGATATTGTAACAAGAATGAATAGTACTGTTGGGGACTGCGCCAGGGACTCTTCTGCGAGATCGACGCGAAGTGACCTCGAAGATTCTGGACTGCCGCTATTGGCTCACCGGAACCTTCTCGAATCAACGAGTACCTGCGATACGGCTATATAAGCCGATGGCCGGATGAGGGAAGCGGAGTAGAGTTAAGTGAATATAATAATTCGTAGATAAGTAGTCAGACATAAATAGTGGTGTACATAAATGTTCTATATAGTTAAGTTAAAGTTAGTTGTGTTGTGTTTTAAATAAATTAGTGCATTTCTTCTTGTGGAATCGAGTTTTTTTAATGCACACCCAATGGAACCCAGAAAGTCAAGCGTAAGTAACAAAGAGAAGTCATGCGAGCGTGACAGCGTCTGGCAATTTGTTAGTAAACACAGTATTTTAAATAATTAGATACAGAATACTAATGTATTCTATAGCAATATTTTTTACTAGGAGACGTTACATGGAAATCTGAATTAATAAAAACTGTTCGATGTGACTACCTCCAGCTAGAATACAAAACTTCAATTTCATATATTCCCAAGTTTATCCAAACACACAAAAGACTCGTTTCTTGTTGAGTTATATAACTTCGCCCTTTTATAATATAATGTAAGGAATCTATCCTAGTGACTAGTCCGGGGTACGAGGAGTGAAGTAGACATATGACATTTGCTGGACAGCTGTCATTGTCATGAGTGAGTGATGTCAATCTTGTCAAGGGACATATTAGGTTATGATAATGATGATAATGCGGCCAACATACGACAAAGAGGTCCGAGAGAGAGATTGAGCTAGTCAGGGCAAAAAGCGCGCGGACATGAATGAATTGCATAGGAAACCGAGGATTCTTAGAGAAGATTTAAAAGTTATTCAGGCAACTGGAACGAGATAAAATCCTGGAAACGTAATTATAATTAAAAAACCAATTTTATTTATATATACATATGTATGAAACTTGACAATAAATTCTCCTTTACACATTTGAAGATATAATAATTAGTATTTAACATAAGTAATTAATAATTCAGGTAATACTATTGAGCTGCAGATATTCTCTTCTCCTTAAGTAGTTCATCTACCAGACTATTCAGACTTTTTATTTTATTTCTTTGTCTACGAATTTTACACTGATTGTACTTGTTAATTTTTTTGTACTTATGAACAGTTTCATGAGCAGTTTTCCAAAACCTCTTCTGACGCTGCACATTATTTAAATCAGAAATTTTGAAATCCCCAAAGTATACTGGTGATCTTCTGACCCTACAAACAAAAAGAGTTTGTAACAAATGAGAAACACAAAGTTCAATGACAATTACCTAAAATTGCATGTGTTTGAAGGTTCACTTGATTCTAAAAATCCTAGTTTTTGTGTTATGTTTGACGGACCAGCTGCCAATATATTTTCATCATCAGCATGATCACCATTTTCAGGTTCTTCTACTACTTCACCAATAGCCAAAGTTTGTTCTAAAAATCATTACGTTACTAAGACTCACTTCATCATTGTAAATATCTCTTTTAAAAGTAGAAAAGTTAAAACCTTAAGCTTAGACTGGGAATATTTTAAAGAACATACCTGTTGCTTTTGAGTTGGATTCTTCATGTTTTCTTTTCAAAACCCTTCGAGGGCTAGGTTCTTTCTTGAGATGGGCTGGAAAATCAAACACAGATGGAACTGCCACCTTTTTTAGTACCTTATTTCCATGAACACTAACTTCATAATCCTCTGGAGTGAAATGCTTTTCACAAATTACCGTTGTTGTACTGGGAGTAAAGTTTTCTCTTCTTATAGCATTTAACCACAACTTCCTCATGTTAGGATCTCTAGGTATCCTAAAAATCCAGATATTTCCTCGAATTACCAATTAACAGGTAATGTTCGCACAAAAATGAATGAGATGATTAAAACCAACCTGTGAAACTTCATTTTCACATCTTTTCTGCGTCTATTGCAACAATTCACCGCACTGCAAGATTCAACCATTTTTAAACAAATATCACATAAAACAACAGCTCTTGAAGGCTGTCCAGCATAAAAATGTTTATAATAATTGTCGCAAACGATCACTATTAATCTTTAACGTCACTAAAAACAAACATTCACCAAAAATCCTGAGAACATATATCGAAATACCACAATGGAACACGATGTTTTGTCAATGTTTTGCCCTGACTAGCGCTATCCTTCTCGTTTCTCATTCTAGCCGCAATGAATTCGCGTTACGCCTGTTCCATCAGTATTGACAGTTCATTGATTATTATGCACCCATTATGTGACTGATTATGAAGATAAATCATTAAAAATACAATTGATCCGAGTCCTTAAGTGTTTCCATTATCAGCACCCCTGTAATGTCATTATAAATAAAGACGATTATTATTATCATTATTAACGAATTCTCCAAAAAGATGCCAACCCGATGAGGTATTTGGACGTCACGATTTAGATCGTCAAAACCACTTTGGCAAGTAGAATCGTAGTAATTCCCAAGGAAGTAATAAAGCAAACTGTCATCATCCGTTTAACCACAATTATTCATTCTTAATGCTGGCACATACAGGTATGTACACTCATGCAAATTGTACGTTATGCTTGTATAGTTTTGAATCGTCAAGCAAGACGTGGTGGTACCAAATCCTCCGTTTTTGTTGACGCGTTCCGTCAGTTGCTTGGCATGGGTAAAATAAACTGAACAGTGATATTTATACGATATAAGTTGGAAAAATTACTAATGATTTTCATCAAATAAAATGTACTGAAAATATGTAAATGTACTTTATTAAGATTGAAACGAGCCATTAGAATTACTGAATAAAGGATTATTTTCAGATATTTATTCAAACAACAAAGTGGTGGCACTGTCACATGACAGGTAACAGTTGATCATCATTGGCTAGTTTATCTCACTTCGATCTGACTGGAAATATTTAATTAAGTGTTTTCATATGTGATAGAAGTCATATACGAAATGGTATTTTTGATAATCTTCATGATAAACTACCTACATTTCACTTTTTTATGTATGTGCTAGCTTGGCTAAGGATGTAAGTATGATTGAGCAGTACCTACTTCTCTCATCAATGAAATTTGAAGTTTTTTTTAGATAAATTGAAAACCCGCCAATAAAATCCTAACCTCCTAATGAAACAAATGATCTGTGAAAATTTAAACCCGATGAGATACCCTTTTGCACGTTTTACTCTCATGAAAATTTTGATAATACTCTATATTCTAATTCTGAATTTACTTTACAAGCTTCCGAAAATCACTTCATAGGTACTCATTAGTGGAAAATCTGCAGGTCAGAACATTATTTGAATAGAAAGTATAAAACAATATTTCTAAGAACATGGTAGGTATTATTGAGGGGTACTTAGTTAATATAATATAGATTTTAAATTGAATATTCTTACGTACTAACTGATTAGAGTTTATGATTTAATATTCTAGTTATACTTAATATATAGCCTTAATCAAAGCTTGTCATTTGACATATTTATTAAGTTAGGTGCTGCCTATATTAATTAAACGCCAAAGCAGTTTGAACGAGAAAGTTTGAGTTCTTTTGAGATGGCAGCCTTACTTGCTTACCGCCTATAGCCGGCCCTGACTATAAATAAGTAATATTCACGCAAAAATGTTATCTATATTCAATATTGCAACTCATGTGCACAATTCTAAATATGAGCGGGCTCACCTTCAGAATAATGATGTTAGAGCATTCTTGGGCTAATTCCTCCAACTTAGGTGAAATCATCTTGCAAGGACCACACCAGGTGGCGAAGAAGTCGATAACCACCAACTGATCGCCTGCATCATTCAGTTTGGTCTCGAGGTCAGCCTGAAACAGGAAAATAATAATGTGTTGAAAGCTATAGTACAACGAACTATAATTGCTGGTTAAATACGCCGTTTGAGATGCCATTACACAGTTTTTGATGACTGAAAATATCATGACCAAAACCTTCTGCAGTAATAGTGGTATAAAACAATTTTCCCAATCCAAAGATAGCGACATGTGCTGCCCATTGACAAATCAGTGATCCCAACCTCTGATGAATTGATGCAAATCCTGAAAAGATTCAAGATTGTACACAAAATCATTTTTGTCTACAGCCATGCAAATAATAGAGGGAAACACCAGGTATTCATTTCAGCTTGTAAGGAGAATGATGCCAACGAAATGTCACTGCAAATAATATTTGCTAAAGGTAAATGTTATTGTTATCAACTAGCTCCTGAGATCATGTGTCATTAATTTTCCTGGTTCGGAGATTAGATCCGCTAGTTCGTCGATGGGCCCCATATGTCGCGACCGTTGAAATGGAAGATGCACTGAGGACATAACTATAGAATAATCCCAAACGTAACATCCCTTATTTTATAAAAGCACATTAACCATTTATTTACAATAATTGATTCATCAAAAAGGCTTAAAGTTTGGTCTATGTTTCTACATAACCACCATTCCAGTCATTTTTGTAGAAGCTGTGTCAGTTTTTGGAACTGAATCACTTTTCTGCTAAGAATGCTTTTTCAACTTAGGGAGCATTTGATCTGCAAAAAATGTAATAATGTTTAAACCTTATAATGATGTATCAATTATAGAAAATGGTTTAAGCGCTTTTGGGAGAAACAGAAGATACTACTTTTGAGATTACCATCGTATATTAATTTACACAAATTCACAAAAAAAAATACAATGGGAGTCTGGACAGAATGTATATATTCATTTAATGCCAATATACTGTATTATCGATATAAATATATCTTTATGAGCAACATTGCTTTCTTAATTAATGTTTGGTGATTGCATTTGCATTCTAAATTAGCATCACACTATTTGGGATGTGATCAACAGACATTGCAAATCATTCAATAAGGATAGTTCTGCAGCGGTGCTTCTAGTGACCTCACTGATTTTTCGGGATATCTATATATACAGGGTGTTTGCAATACTCTAACCATTTGGGATTGAGAAAGTGTGAGAGGTACGAAGTCGCTTAAATGGGTCAAAGATGCGTATTTAGGAAATTAACAAAGTGCCGCTTAGAAAGTTTTGAAATTCAAAGTACTCTCGGGGAGAGGCGGAAAAAATCGAATTTTCCCAACATCGTTTTAATTTTTTCCTGACTTTATTTGTAGTGGGATTTCAAAATAAATTGCACATTAACATTGCTCGTTTTTCTCCTTTGCAAGATGGCATATTTATAATTTCAATATGACGTTTCGTCTCTTGTCATCAATCATCAACTTCTTTTCTTATGGGCGCCATAATGGATTTTTACACAGATGCATAGAATTTTTAATTCTGATTAAAAAAAAGTCATACATTGACATTGCAAAACCTTAGTTATTTAAAAAAATCAAAATTTTCTAGGTAGGCCTTGAAATTATCAGATAGTCATTTGTTTTGCATACCACATTTATGCCAAAATCACTATTATTTTTGAAAGGGGATTTCAAAATAAATTGCAGGTTGTCATTGTTACTTATTCTCATCTACAAGACCGCTTAGTCAAATTTTCAATTCGGCATTTTTTCTTTCGACCTCCATCATCAACTTTGTTTTTTCAAATGGACGCTACATTGGAATTTTTTACATTCAAATGGACCTAAATTCAGTGATGGATCTCCTTAGTTGGCTATGAATTTGTTGTTGGTTGAAAATTATAAGGAAATGATGAAACCTTATAACATGCAAATTTTATTGATGGCATTAATAAGTAAGCAGAGGTTAACCATAGCAGATGTTCAAAATGATGTTCGTTATTTTGTAGGCAAAGCCTGACTCTTCTCTGTACATTGTTCACTGCTCAGTGTTTTCTATTCTTCCAAGTTTTCACGTTCAGGTCTGCACGGGTATTACGTATCTTAAAATGTGACATTTCGTCGGGTTTTTTGATATTTCGTACGTTTTTTTGACATTTCGCAGGTTTTTTTACATGTTAACTCAGCATAAGCTGTTGTAAACTTCCGAACTCGTTTTGTAGATGTACGTGTTGCTTAAATGTCAGTGAACAGCGATCATAGCAAGCAAACGTGGAATGAACTACATATTTGCACTGAGTAACTACCTAGGCTGCAAGATGACATTTCGTCGTTTTTTAAACGTTTTTTAGGTGTTTTACATAATAGCCGTGCCGGTCTGGAATACGAAACAAATGAAATCTGATAATTTGAAGGCCTACTTAGGAACTTCTGTTTTTCTGGAATAACTAAGGTTTGGTAATGTCAATATGTGACATATACATTTTTGGAATCAGAATTGAAAACTATTCATGAGTGCAAAAATCCATAAGAAAAAATAACGTTGCTGCTGGAGGACAAGAGACCAAACGTCATATTGAAATTCTAATTAAGTCATCTTCTAGAGAAGAAGTGGCAATATTAAAGAGCAATTTATTTTGAAATCTCACTACAAATAAAGTGAGGAAAAAATTAAAATGATCTTTGAAAAATTCTGTCTGCGGCATTTTATTGATTACCTAAAAACAGTACAGTTTCCGAGATTCCAATGGTGAGGGTCGAATTTGAAACACCCTGTATACAAATATCTGACATTGTTGTTTATTTAGAAGGTGCTAAAAATGAATTAAACATGAAGTATGACTGAATGGAAACTCCTTCTTTAGCTCCATTTAAATGTTACAAACATAAATCAGATCAACAATTAGTCAGAATCAAATGATAATGAAGATGAGGTTGAAGCACTTTCAGGTTAACACTTAAGAAATGACTGAAAAATTACTCATTTGCCATTAAATAGAAGAAATGTTTGTGTTTATTACTATTACTATATTATGGTTAATTTAGTTTTGTTCCAACCCGTCGGAGAACCGTTCCATAACGAAAAACTTTAAACATATTCGGAATCGTAACGGGACAGTTCTGCACGGGTATTACGTATCTTGAAAAGTGACATTTCGTAGGTGTTCTTTAACATTTCGTAGATTTTTCTACAAGATGTCAACTTAGCACAAGTGTTGTTCACTTGTTGTGAACTCGTTTTGTAGCTTTATGTGTTGTATAAACGTCAGCGAACAGCGATCATATCAAGCAAAGTGGAATTAACTTATTTGAATACTAAAAAGTACTGTACAGTGAACTTGGTATCTACAATGAAAGGGGATCAAAGGAACTGACCTGCACAGTAGAACTGTTGTCAGGTGATTGCCTCTAACCTCCAACAAAACTGTAACAGTGCTTTGATAGCTTGGGTATTTTCTTTTTAAAGACAATTTATTGATATTATCCAGCTTTCATTGCGATAAATAGAGACAAAAACGACACATCATAAATCGTTCTAACCACCTTCCAGCCCAGAAACAATTCTGGAATCATGACCAGTCAGCATATGCATAGAAAAGCATACCAAATGGTAACTGGGTTCTGGTATGATACCAAGACTCAAGGTTGGAACAAATCGAAGAAATCTATTATGTTTAATATACTAAGTGACATATAAATCCGAACACCCAGTTTAAATGGTTTTATTTTAATAAAATTTTGTATAAGTACTTAATGAAGCATAATAAGTAAATGATAAAAATTTCAAAATGATTGCACAGCTTTAAAGCCCTTTAACCTTTAATAATGTGTGGATGTACCCTAATGTGCTACGCATTCTCCAACGCGCCTAGGCATGCTTCTGATCAGGTGGTCAATGTCCTCCTGTGGTATCTCATTCCAGGCAACCACCAACTCCTCTCGAAGTGCTTCTAGAGTCTGAGGAGGACGTTGCAAATTGAGCAATCTCCTACCCATCATATCCCACACGTGCTCAATTGGGGATAAGTCGGGAGATCTTGGTGGCCATGGTAACAATGTGACATCATTATGTTGGGAGAAGTCTATTGTGACTCTTGCAACATGTGGTCGGGCATTATCTTGTTGGAAAGTTGGATCTGCCAGGGTGTCAAGATAGGGTAAAAGATGGGATTCTAGAACTTCGTGGATATAACGCTGCGCGTTCATGCTACCTCTGATGAAGATTAAAGGTGACCTGGAACCATAAGCTATAGCACCCCAAACCATAATTCCAACAGTGTGATGAACATGTCTTTCAACAAAAAACTGTGGATTCTTCCTTTCACCACGTCGCCTTCTAACCCTGGCACGACCATCGTGCATGCCTAAACAAAATCGAGACTCGTCACTAAAGACAATACTGTTCCATTCCTGATCCCAGAGTGACCATTGTCTGCACCACTCAAGGCGATTACGTCGGTGTAAGGGTTAGAAGGCGACGTGGTGAAAGGAGGAATCCACAGTTTTTTGTTGAAAGACATGTTCATCACACTGTTGGAGTTATGGTTTGGGTTGCTATAGCTTATGGTTCCAGGTCAACTTTAATCTTCATCAGAGGTAACATGAACGCGCAGCGTTATATCCACGAAGTTCTAGAACCCCATCTTTTACCCTATATTGACACCCTGGCAGATCCAACTTTCCAACAAGATAATGCCCGACCACATGTTGCAAGAGTCACAATAGACTTCTTTCAACATAATGATGTCACATTGTTACCATGGCCACCAAGATCTCCCGACTTATCCCCAATTGAGCACGTGTGGGATATGATGGGTAGGAGATTGCTCAATTTGCAACGTCCTCCTCAGGCTCTAGGAGCACTTCGAGAGGAGTTGGTGGTTGCCTGGAATGAGATACCACAGGAAGACATTGACCACCTGATCAGAAGCATGCCTAGGCGCGTTGGAGAATGCGTAGCACATCAGGGTGCATCCACACATGATTAAAGGTCAAAGGGCATTAAAGCAGTGCAATCATTTTGAAATTTTTATCATTTACTTATTATGCTTCATTAAGTACTTATTCAAAATTTTATTAAAATAAAACCATTTAAACTGGGTGTTCGGATTTATATGTCACTTAGTATAGTATACTCATATAATATGTCATATGTATGAACACAATTTAAACATGCATGTTTTCTTTATTTTAGCAGAATTACCAACAGGAATTATCATTAAAAATGCAATTCAAACTCTTTATGAGTAGGCACTGGAAATACAGCTTCTTTCTAGTCTTGCTGATTTGAGAAATATGCACTTATGACAATTTCAAACTGCTTTAACCAATGTTCAAGAATGCCATAAACTTTTTGGGAAGAGAGTGATATTGCAAAATAAGTAGTGATCTTAAACAAGTTAGTCACAAAAAATGTGTAATTCTATGAGATCTACTGCAAACCAGTTTTTTTAATTCCTGACATGTGTTTTGCTTAATAGTTAGCACAAACATGTGGGGTATTGAAAAAAAAATTGGCAAATGGTAGTGGTCATAATTGTTATACCAATGGATTCAAGATAGATTTGATCCCAGTTGCTTTTGTACACTACAGTGGACCAACTTGGAATGAATTCAACTATTTTAATGGACTATGTTGAAATACACAATGTGCCAGCCACTAGCAATTTTGTACCAGTGCAATCGTGTGCTATCAGCGGTATTTATGTAAATCACTTGATAATGTCATAAGATACATAGTAATGGAATGTAGATTGACAGATTAAATTTCACTTTCTAATACTGAGAGAAACTTTATTTTCAAAGTGCCTACATTATTACAGAGTCATATAATGATCCTTGATAACAGCCGACTAATTTATAACAATGTTTTCTGCAACCATTGTATTCATTATAAGAAATGCTATGGATACAAGATAGCCCATTTATTGTGAAAAACATATTCTACCAATTTTGAGCACTTTTTTATATCAAATAAAGTAAATAAACAACAAACCATGTGAATGGCAGGTGACAATTAATACTCCTACTTCCAAGTTTTTGTGCAGAGAAAGTAAATAAACAACAAACCATGTGAATGGCAGGTGACAATTAATACTCCTACTTCCAAGTTTTTGTGCAGAGAAAGTAAATAAACAACAAACCATGTGAATGGCAGGTGACAATTAATACTCCTACTTCCAAGTTTTTGTGCAGAGAAAGGAAGAAAAATTTTGACATTCAAAAAGGATTACTTTGTTATATTTCGAATGCATGGAACATGTAGAGCAAACAATTACAACCTCTAGTATTTTTACAAATAGTACAAAGTACACTCTATAACAATTTACAAACAGCCCAGCATGTAGAGTCCAGGGTCATAAATGGTGTTTCGCATCAGGGCTAAATAATAGCAATGTGCATCAAAATTGGCATTTTGAGAACCATTCAAGTTTGAGGAAGTTCCTTCTAATAACAGTAACCGAATCAGTGTGAAGAGAGATAATTACGATAGAGTGCTTTCATGTATCTGTAACTTGAGTTATGTGATTACAATTAGGAATAAAAGTACTATACCACTCTCTGTTTCTGATAAAATAACATCACTAGATAGCACATATATATTTGGAGCTAATCAGAATAACCATTCTTAGGTCTCCAGCTCTAGGGGCAAGTTTTCTTGAGAGCAATAATGTCCCCGCCTCTCTGTTAGAAACATCATTGAGGGTGAATACAGATCTATTAAATCCCTTTACAAATGTCCACAACGTGGTTTTTTCCCATTCACTGAGTGACCATGATGCATGCAAAATTTTATGCTTTCTGATTTTTGACTGTTTTGAAAACACTAATGCTTGCACAAAAGGAAGATGAAGAGATGAATTCAAGAGAAGTTTTTTTGAAAGGAAAAGAATTAATGAATGTGGATATTCGTTCCCTTATGCTCGATTTTTCTCATGGTGGGTATAGTTGGTAGATTGTGTGGTGTACTTAGTACTAAGGCAACAATTAACTTTCAGTACCATTCCTTGACATTACTATATATTATGTTATCTATCCAAATACATAAATAATTGGAAATACTAATAAGCCGAGTTGAACCAATTTGTCATAAAATAAAATAGCAAGTAATCCTTTCACTCTTTGAACACACAGGAATTCAGTATTTGAGTTACATCAAAGATAATGATAACTGATAATTTCAGTGTAAAAAGGGGGACAAAGTTATAGCATGTCAGATTTCTAATCAATACTTAAAATTAGTAACACGTACACAATATAACATGCAATCTGATAGAAATGGGTGATCGCATGCCTGTGAATAGTGGGAAAATCAAGAATCCGGATATACCGAGCATGTAACCTTTAATCGAAGGACACAAATATTGCTGACTTTTTTACTAAACCTGTACGTCATCGCCTTATGTATTGTTCAATTTGGGAAATACTGGATATATGAATAAACAACAATTTCATTATATGGTTTGAAAAATGCATGACGCATACCACACCTCGCAATAGAAAAAACAGCCATATAGAAAGTTTATTCCAGAAAAAAAAACATTACTTACCTTATCTTTGATGTGGGTAACCATTTTGTTAGGTCTTGTGTATGTTTACAATAAATATCAATACACTTACAGAAATGTCCTCTTCGTTTTTGCAAGAAAAATCAAGAAAAATTAGGACACTTGCGAAGACTCAAGAGCCTCAAGATCAAATGCAAATAATCACTATCCAAATAACAGCGTCACAGCTAACTGAATGATGTTGCAGAAGTTAGGAAAACCGTCCTATCTACATTTTTGTCTAATATACGGTAAAAGAGTGAGATAAGCTCATTTGACTCATTCCCTCAATTAAAGGCATATGACTCTACGTTTCGGGAAGCCATGGTGTGATTCTCTCTCTTTCTAACTAATACAAATTCCTCCATGTCGCTTGGAAGGTATGTCGATGAGCTCATCGTTTATTCGGTGAGTATCGTTATCCCTTGTTGCCATATTTAACCATTTGGAATGAGATTGTATAATTTACAGCAATCTGCTAGGCAGATGTCTGGCCCCCGGGTATGCTCTCATTTGTGAATGTTTTAAGGACACAAGACACATGTTTTAATATCCATTCCAGTGTGCGGGAGAAGTTTTTTAATCTCAAATAATGTTGATTTTTTTAGATGTTATAAATCATAACGAAAAAACTTGTGATTCATTTCCGTCGGTCTGTCCGTCCGGTACGGTAACAATTGTCCCCTCTTCAAGTCGGAAGGTACCATGCTTTTGATGCAATTTTATCACAAGCTTACTACCAATCCGGATACAATGGATGAGCACGTGAGGCAGCCGCCTCAGGGCGCAGTGTCACGGGGTAGGGTGTTCGCAAAATTCTCAATTAATATGGAGCGAAGGTACACCCCCGATAGCACGAAATATTCATTCAATATTTGATAATATTTTTATCTTACTTAAATATTTGTTATCTTGAACAAATATTTAATAAATATTTGGAATTGTAAACTACTGAGCGAGGGCCGTGGCAAATGCTTGTTCCGGAAGTTGTTGTATCCAGTATACAACTTCTTCCCGTCCAAGTGATTGTACGCGCGTTAAGGAATACCTCAGTACCGATTGCCGGGTGGCGGTACAAGTCCGCCAACGGGCCACTTTAGGTCTATTTAATATCACTAACACGTAAAAAGAAGGTGGTAGACAAGGACCAGTCGACCGAGGCGGTACCACCCGCTCGTTTTTCCCAGGGTGTCTTATAAATGTCCGCATGTTTCCACACCTAAGCTATGCAGTCGGTTATCTTCCAAAACAAAGAAATTAATGATGATGGATCCCTCGAGCACTAAGAACTCCGGACGTAAACTCACTCCACTCTCGGAATGTCCGGGTGGAGGGTGGGCTCGAGGGAACAACATCGAAGATAAAATTTGCGGGATTAACAGCAACATTGATGCTGTTCATCACTATCTGCAATCCAATCGTCCCGCCGTGCTTTTCTTGGCGGAGACAAAAATCTCAGAGACTGCACCGATTAACCAACTCAACTTCCCAAACTACGAGGTGCACTCCAATCTGAGAAAGAACGGGGGAGTTGTGGCTTTTGTCCGCAGCAGTCTTTCCTGCTCCAGGGATCTTTCTTTGGAATCAGACCGGAAGGACATTCTGTGGCTTCGCCTCAACTCCAAAACATCATCCAAATTTATTTGCTGCCTTTATCGCTCTCCCTAGAATCATAACTGGGATGACCTGCTGGAATACCTCGCCGTCCAGATCGACTTCCTGAACATCAACCACCCCGCTTCAAAGATAGTTCTTCTCGGTGATTTCAATGCCCATAATGAGCTTTGGTTGGGCTCAAATAAGACCGATGCAGCAGGTCGTGCAGTCGAAGCGTTCGCTCTTACTCAAGCCCTACTTTTTTCCCCCGCGTCTCGTCACACGCCAGTAGCCTGCTGGATCTCTTTCTGACCACGCATCCTGTCCCTTACAGGACTGCTGTCCTGTCCTCCCTGGGTAACTCAGACCACGGTGTTGTGGAGGTTAGGTTTCGGTCAGAACCTGCTGTGGCAGCAGAAACTCGTACAGGCCGCAAAACTTGGCATTACGGACATGCCGACTGGGAGGGGCTCACAGACTTCTTCTCTAGCCTTCCTTGGAGAGATGTCTGTTTCACTGACGCGGATGCGTCGACTGTCTGTTCTTCGATAACCGAAATTATCCACGTCGGAATGTAGGAATACATCCCTCACACAGTGAAAGCTCCTAAACCAGGGTCCAACGGCTGGTTTAACAAATCGTGTGACACTGCTCGCCAGCAGAAGATCAAGGCACACAGAACCTACTAACAAAACCCCACTGTAGAGAACAGACAAGCCGACGTCGAGTCCAGAATATAATATATATATATATATATATATATATACAAAAGTTAGGCACAGGGTAATGTCGCAGCACAATGGCAGTCGGTCTTTCTGGACGCTGACCAAGCAGATTGAAAAGAACTTCTCACACAGTAGCCTTCCACCACTTACGTGTCAGGATGGAACTATTGTATTCGACTCAAAGGCCAAGGCGGAAGTGCTAGCCATGATCTTTGCTGTCAACTCCACCATGGACGTCCCCACCAACGTCCAAGTGCCGTCAATTCAAAGGGTTCCCCACACTATGCGGGAGGTAAAATTCAGGCATAAGACCGTAAGACGAGTGCTCTTGTCGCTGGACATCAATAAAGTTCCTGGTCCGGACTTGATTCCTGCCATCGTACTGAAGAGATGTGCAGCGGAGCTTGCTCCAGTTCTTTCGCGTCTATTCCAGATATCTTACGAATTCGGCACCTTCCCAGAAAACTGGAAATTTGCTCATGTCCAGCCCATCCCAAAAAAAGGGTCTAAGACCGACCCTTACAACTACAGGCTATAGCTCTGCTTTCTGTTATAAGTAAAGTGATGGAGAGGTGCATAAATCGCGAGCTTCTGGACTACCTCGAACGTCACAGCTTGATTAGCGACAGGCAGTACGGTTTCCGGCACCAACGATCTACAGGGGACCTCCTAGCTTACGTCACGCAATTGTGGAGTAAACTCATCCAGTCTCATGGTGAGGCTCATGTCGTTGCTCTTGACATCACGAAAACGTTCGATCAGCTGTGGCACGCTGCCCTCTTAAGTAAACTTCCATCCTATGGCCCCCCAGAGAAGCTTTGCAGATGGGTGGCTGACTTTATCTCTGGCCGCAAGATATCCGTCGTAATTGACGGATTCTCCTCTTCATCCCACAACTTCAACGCGGGTGTTCCACAGGGATCGATCTTGGCTCCAACACTGTTTCTATTACATATCAACGACCTCCTTTCCTGCACGATCAACCCAATCCACAGCTTCGCTGATGACAGCACTCTACATGCATTAATTCAGAGTGACAAGCCGATCTCTGCCGCTGAGCTGGAAAAAAGAAGACTAGCGACGACTTCTTCTCTGACAAGAGACCTGGAGGCTATCACTGCTTGGGGACGCAACAATCTTGTACAGTTCAATGCTTCCAAAACACAGTACTGTACTTTGACGAACAAAAAGCGTCCTAGCGCTCATACAGTTTCGATGGACGGCCGAGTTCTACCAAAGAGCTATTCATTTCGGCTGGTCGGAGTCCAGATCACCGAGGACCTGATCTGGCACGAACACATCTCGTCAATAGCTGCAGCTGCTGGGAAAAAGCTAGGCTATTTGTTTAGGGCTAAGAAGTACTTTTCTCCGCATGACCTTCTCACTCTATACAAGGCCCAGATAAGGCCTAGCCTCGAGTATTGCTCACACATTTGGGGTGCTGCCGCCCCGACTACATTGTCCATGCTCGATGCTGTCCAGAGGAGGGCGGTCCGACTGATCGATGACTCTTCTCTAACAGACAGTCTCGGGACTCTTTCGCACCGGCGAGCCGTCGGCGATCTAGCTTTACACCAACGGCCTTCGGCGTCTCATCCTAACCGTGTCAAACGTACATCCAGAACTGGCCGATACGACCGCTCCTTTGTCCCGAGGGTGTCTAGATTGTGGAACAATATACAAGAGGAAGCTTTTCCCAGTTCTACTAACCTTAGGCAGTTCAAAAATCGTATTAACAAAATATCTTTGGGATCATCATAGCAGCCGCGGTATTCCGGCATTTAGGCTTCTGCCTGCGCGGCTGTTTCGATATAAAAAAAAATAGAATATCTCTATTAAATATTTATTCAATATCCTTTAAATATTTTGAATATAATATTTCTTTTATAATATTCATTAAATATTTACTTTTCAATCAATGGAAAATATTAAAACTCCATTATTTAGAAAATATTCATTAAATATTTTCGGCTACGGCGCATGTGCGTGTGATCCCGAGCGACCAATGACTTAATGGCAAGCCAACCTGAGCCGACCCGTTTGCCAGCATCCATTTTGCATGTGAGTCTCACTATTATAGCGTGCTTCCTGTGCACCTCCATTATTTGAGTGTTTTTTGTGGAAAAGGGTAAGTTTTGCGATAATTGCATAGCTTAATTTATCTAACTAGTGAACATTATTGTGCCAGTTTTTTGAGACACATTTACAAGACCATACATAACTAGCCTTGAAGTGTAACAGTTATTTACGATTTGGGATTGGTGGATTTATCTTAAAATGGATACGAAAATTATATTCATAACATCCCAATGAAAATTCATATAATCACAACTTGATCGAGATATATCAAAAATGCTTTTTTTTAAATATCTCAATTATTGTTTGTCGTAGTAGGAGGCACAATTTTCCACGAGCTTTCCTCCTAAGTTGGCAAAATTTTCCACGAGCCTATTTTCTACCTTGGCTGAGTTTTTTAAAAGATCGGCACAATTTTCCATGAGCTTGCCTTCTAAGTTTGCACAATTTTCCACGATCTTGTTTTCTAACTTGGACAAAAGGTTTTGCACCAATATCCCCTGCACCGGTAAAAAAAAATATCCGGGTCCTCGGCTTCCTCAATCAGTACTTTACGAAGCCGATCCTGTAATTCCGCTTTCTTTCCAGCCGTGCCGCACTCTCTTTCCTCGAGCTCTCTTTTTAAATCGGCAATTTTCAATTCTTCCTTCACTGATCGTCCGATTTATTTCCACTAAATGTCCAATAACCCACACCCCACACCTGATACCAGAGTAGCGTTTTTCTGGGTTCTTTTGGGTGTGAATTAAAACACTCGATTCCACAAAAAGAAATGCACTAATTTATTTAAAACACAACTAACTTTAACTCAACTAGATAGAAAAGTTATGTACACCACTATTTCTGTCTGACTACTTATTTACGAATTAATATGTCGCGTCATTCACTCAACTCTGCTTCCCTCTCCCGCATCGCAGGTACTCGTTAATTCGAGAAGGATCC